CCCACAATGGGCTGGTCCTGACCTATCAATTACTAATTAAGAAAATGACTTATAGCCGGATCTTATGGAGGCATTTTGTCAGTTGAGGTTCCCTCCTTTTAGAAGCCTCTAGTTTGTATCAAGTTGACATAAGACGAGCTAGCACAGCCCCATTGCTGAAGACAACACCTACACAACTTACCGAACATGGAGAAGTCAAGCTGGTGCCTACCTAGAGCCTTCACCCCTACATTGTCTCATTTATGGAACAGGAAAGTACTCTGCAGGCTTTGAAAAGAAAAAATGGAAACACCAATCCAGCCACAGACTCTTTGCTTTGCAATGGTGTCCTGCCTTCAAGATAAGTTAGTGCAACAGTGGCACAAAGCTTATAGGAGTAACCAACCAATGTTGGGTCTGAGATGGAACCCATACATTACAGTGCAGAGTCACCAAGAACCGAGATAGCTCAAGGACCCAGGACTACTGTTCTAAAGAACAAACAACAACAACAAACATAGCAATAAAATGACATTCTGCTATATTCATAGGTCAGTGCCTTGGAAAGCTATCATCAGAGGAGCGTCCTCCTGCAGGAGATGGAAACAAATACAAAGACCCACAGATAGACATTGTCCAGAGAATGGGAGGCTTTGGAACACACATTCCTAAAGGGAATGTCTCCATCAAATCCCTCTCTTCAGAGCTCAGGGAGGAACCCTGTGGAAGAGGAGGCAGAAAGAATGCAAGAGCCAGAGGGGATAGAGGACATCAAGAAAACAAGACCCTCTAGATCAACCTGCACAAAGCACATATGAACTCACAGAGACCGAGGCAGCATACAGAGGGTCTGCAGGGTCTGTACCAGGTCCTTTGTGTATATATCATGGCTTCTGATTTATTGTTTTTATGGTGTTCTTGAGTGTGAAAATGAGTGGGTCTCTGTTTCTTCTGCCTTCTCTTGGGCTATCTTCCTTCTGTCTGTTTGTTTTGTCCAACTCCAATGTGCTAGTTCTCATTTTATCTTATTTTTTTTAAAGATTTACTTATTTCTTATGCATAGTGTTCTGTCTGCATGCATACCTGCATGCCAGAAGAGGGCATCAGATTTCATTACAGATAGGTGTGACCCACCGTATAGTTGCTGGGAATTGAACTCAGGACTTCTGGAAGAGTAGCCAGTGATCTTAACTGTTGAGCCATCTCTCCAGCCTCCACTTATATTTTATTTTATTACTGTCCCTAGGAAGTCTGTTTTCTACTAAGAGTGGATATGGATGAAAGGGGAGGTTGGGAGGACCTGAAAGCTGAGGAGGGAAGAGAAATCGTAATCAAGATATACTATATAAGAGAAAAAAATCTATTTTCAATAAAAGGAACAAAAATGAGAACCTGCCACCACAACTCTCAGAAGGAACACACCTTCTTATCTGTTACCTCTGGATCAGGAAGGAGATACAATACCTGTTGGTTCCAGAGTCTCACTGGGCATGCTACTAGCTATCCCAGAATGGATGCTCCAGGTACCACCTCTTACCTTATTTAGTTGTTCTGAAATTAAAATTTGCACAAGTGTGTTTATCCATTCCACAAACAATCTACTTTGAGAACCCTAGCTGCAAAGGATCCTTGGAGGTAAAGATCCTAAACATTCTACCTCTGTCCTAATGGAGACTAAAATAGCCGGGTGGTGGTGGCACTCGCCTTTAATCCCAGCACTCGGGAGGCAGAGCCAAGCAGATTTCTGTGAGTTCAAGGCCAGCCTGGTCTACAGAGAGAGATCCAGGACAGGCACCAAAACTACTCAGAGGAAACCCTGTCTCAGAAAAACAAAACAAACAAACAAACAAACAAAAGACTAAAATAGGCACTGCGTGAGGAGCCGTCTCTACCAACCACTCATTGACATAGTGGATACTACTAGATTTATACCCCCAAAAAACAAGTCTTTATACCAAAAGATACTTGTACCTTAGCAGCATTCATAATAGCCAGAACCAATCTAGATGCCCTTCATTGGATGGGTGGAACAACAAAGCATGGTATATTTATGGAATGGAAAAATACTGCATCAGATAAAAGAACGAAATCCTGTTATTTGCACCAACATGGATAGAATTGGAGAACAATATGTTGAGTGAAACATGCCAAACACAAAAAGACAAATGACATATGTTCTCACTTATGTAACAGAAACCTGTAAGTCAATCTTGTAGAAGTATGAGATGCAACAGCAGATACAAGAGACAAGGAGAGGGGAAGAAAAAGGGAAGAGACAAAGAAATTAAGACAACTTTCAGCAAGAGGAAGAGAAGGAGAAAGAAGAGGAGCGGGAGATAAGCAATAGCTTCTGAGAGGGTAGCCAGTCCAGTTGTTCATATTAATATGTAACAGTTAAAAATTTCCAACATTGCTGGACCCCTGACACCCTTGCCTTTCCGTTTTTGCTTTTTCTTTAAACAAGTCTTGCTATATTAGCTCAAGTTGTCTTGGAATTTATTATCCTTCTGCCTCAGTATGTCAACTACAGTGGTTACTGGCTTGCACAAGCAAACATGGATATCATTTTCTCAGTGTACAAGTTCTTAACTTGTGCATTTATATAAAGGACGTGGGGTCGATTTAAAATTCTCAGACAAGAGTATTTTAATGGAAAGGGGTTTTGTTTTGTTTTACCTAGGAGCTGATGTTTCTGAGTAGTTTTCTGTATGTCTAATAGAATATGTAAATGATATTCAGACTTATTGTTCTATCTAACTGTAAAAATCAAGAACTCTCAGATTACTGTCTGAAACTCCTTTGGAAGCGATAGACTCAAGTTCATAATTTAGGATGGAATTATTAAGTGGTATGGTCACAAAATTACAATCCACACCAAAGATGTGTCCTAGTTAGCTTTGACTGTCAACTTGACACAGCCTAGGGTCATCCGAGAGAGGAAGTGTCTAGATCAGATTGGTCTGTGGGTGTGTGAGAGGGGGATTCTTGACTTTTAATTAATGTGGGAGACCCCATTTCACTGTGGGCAGCACTATTCCCTGGGCAGGTGGTCCTGGGTCATACATGAAACTAGTCAAGCATGGGTCTGTGAGTCAGCCTTGCCTGTGTCCTGGGCTCCACCCCTGTGCCCTGGGCTCCACCCCTGTGCCCTGGGCCCCACCCCTGTGCCCTGGGCCCCACCCCTGTGCCCTGGGCTCCACCCCTGTGCCCTGGGCCCCACCCCTGTGCCCTGGGCCCCACCCCTGTGCCCTG